ATTAATTCAAAGAGAAAATCAGGGAAGGTCCTTACTGGTATGCTGTGTATACAATGTTTTCACGATGAAATATACTTCCTTGCTTTCAGACCATTACGATTACGATTTCATAATATATCTTTTTTAACACACGCATCAATTGGCATGTACTTATCACCCTTGGGAAGGGGAACTCCTTAAATAAAAAGGACTGGGGTGCTCGTTGTACCTTTTAGGGGTTAAAAAAGGTGGGCTTGGTACCCCTTAGGCTGTTTAGTCTCAAAAGGTCCACAGCAGCAGCTCCTGTGATACCTTTTAGGGTATTGCACCAAAAATATGTGATAGTGCGTTGTTGTAGAATTGGTGTCTTTCAGGGATGAAAAAAAATTTATGCTACGCCCACGAACCAGGACCTTGGTACCTCTTAGTATTTCTTTTAGAACTTCTGCGCACCACGAATGGTCAACACTCATAACAGCACGTCTACCTTTAGCCCGACTTACGATCTTGGATCGTCCTGTTTTTTATCTATTTATTTAAAAATTTGCTAACGGCAGGTGAATTTACAATAGGACAAGGTTGTCCTCTACTAGGTAAATTACCTTACCCTATCCCCTAAAAGCAGACAGAATTGAAACCCAACCCACTTACAGGCCCCCATGCTAAAAGACAAAAAAAAAAATAAAACGAGACAAAACCATAGAAAAAAAACACAGTTGTTTAACATGTACAAGAATTAAGAGCATTGGAACGACGACATTTTACACAAACTAATTTAAAGGAACGGATGTGTCTTGATGGAATACTTTACTGAGTCTTAGATAATAGAAGCACTTTAGTTTTTGACGAAAGACGGTAGTTCCTTTTGTGCTCTTTTGTTATCTGGTAAGGCGTTCCAGATGTTACAGATTCTTACAAAAAAGGAATCTCTATAAAGTGAGGTTTTAGCTTTCTTAGTTTTGAGAAAAAGACCAGAGGCGTCACGGCGCGAGCGCCCACTACAAAACTCAAAGAAGTCGTTTCTTTCAGATCAATTAAACCTAATTTGCATTTAAAGAGAAAGACAATGTCTAGATATTCCAGCCAATAGTTCAGGGGAAGTAAGTTCAGTTTTAAAAGACGTTCCTTGTGAAAGAGGCCAGGATCTTTATCGTGTGGCTCTGCGCTGGATATTTTCGATCTCGACCATTAATGTGGGAGATTAGAGTGCCCACGGTAGCAGAGATGTGATCTTACCAGTGATAGATATAGGGTCTTCACAATGTCTCTTTTGAAGTCTTTTAAACAGTTACGTTTAATAAAACCCATCATGCGATTGGCTTTTGCAACAACTGAAGATATATGGTCTGTCCATTTCAGGTCATCACTTCAATAACTCCCAGATCCGTAGCAGATTTGACAACATTAAGCTCAGTCCTCAATATAGAGAACGATCTTTCTGGGCTTATCCGTTTTCTTGATGTTCTTAGATTTGAGCGTTTTGGTGGCTGGAAATAAAGTTAGTAGGAGACCAGTTGGTTAGACTATCAAGATTTCCTTGGCTGGCAGTAAAATCACTGTTGACATTTTGGATTACTTTAAGTTCTTTGAAGTCATCCGCGAACATTGCCATTGTGCAGTGACTTATAACACTTGGCAGGTCGTTAACGTACACTAAGAACAGGATGGGTCCTAGTATGGATCCTTGAGGGACACCAGACTTTAACGGGTTCCAGTTTTAGAAAGATCCATTGATGACCACGCACTAGTAGTAATAATAGGGAGCTTAAGCAGGAGAGACTTCGGGGACGACGCCGCAGTCAGATCCCCGACGGCCTGGGTCTGACGTCGTCGATCTCCCGCCAAATTTTAATTTGTTAAGCACGGATGCTGTTTTGCCAGGACGCGGCCATCCTCTGTTCCTGATATACTTTTGTTTCTGTTCCGGTTATGGCCAGTTTTAAAGAGTTTCGTCAGACACTTCTTCTCTACTACGATGCTGATCTTATTAGTGATGAGGATTTTATAATCTTGTGCGACTCGTTTTCCTCGCGAAATCCAGATTTTGCTTATGATTCGTACGTTTGCTTTGACATGGATAACATGAACGACGACGAATGCATAGCCGAATTTAGAGTGAGGAAAAGGGATCTTCCAACACTGGCTCAAGTTCTTAGAATTCCACCGTCATTTCAACTTTCTCAGAGGAGCATTGTAGATGGTATGGAAGGCCTGTGTATGCTCTTAAAGCGACTTGCATATCCTTGTAGATATGGAGACCTCATTAACCGTTTTGGACGTCCAGTTCCCGTTTTGAGTATGGCTACAAATCATGTTCTTGATTACATTTACAATACTCACAATCATCTCATAACACGATGGAATCACACAATGCTGACCCCTCGTGCTCTAGAAGTATACGCAGAAACTATCCATGGAAAGGGGGCCACATTGCAGAACTGTTTTGGATTTGTGGACGGAACTGTGCGACCTATAGCTCGACCAGATGAACACCAACGTATCATGTATAATGGACATAAGCGAGTACAGCTTTAAAATTCCAGTCGCTCACCCTACCGAATGGACTGATTGGTAACCTATATGGACCTGTAGCTAAGTGAAAAATTTTTTCCTTTGGTTAGATTTTCCGTCTCTAAAACTTTTCTATTAAAATCGAACATTCACCTCTCACCAGTTCATAGCTCACGGTGCATTCTTGCAAACAGCTCCTGCTCTATTTTACTCTAAAGTAAACTTACAAACAGCCTTTCAATTTGTAGACTGAATGAAAATATACGCAGATCTGAAACATTTTGATGCAACATACAAGAGGTGTGAAATGGCTAAAATAACAATAAAAAAGTCACGTAAGGGAAAATGTAAAGTTCTCAATTCTACCTGTACCCTACAGCAGTGTTGTAGAAGTTATTGTTTCACATGGTATTTTGACCAATCCCTTGTAATGCCAAAACCAAAAATGTCATTCGTAACCAAAGCCTGCATATTATTAGAAAATAGGTCACTTGAAACAGATTGACCTAACTTCATCTATCAGTAAGCAATATATATCTGTTTGGAGGTTTTTATTAAGGTATTTTCTTTTTCTTCTAGAGGGAAAGAAGCATGATTCCAGTATGCTCAGAGATTCTGGACTTCTACAAGATCTTGAACAATACGCATTTTCAACTACAGGAAAGGCAATGTGCATTTATGGTGACCCTGCCAACCCCCTAAGGGTTCACCTGCAGGGTCCCTTCAGAGATGCTCACCTCACCCCTCAGAAGCAGCTCTAGCTTTACAAGCAGTCAATGAGCTCTGTACGAACATCGGTTGAATGGCTATTTGCAGATGTCCAAAACTACTTTAAATTTATAGACTTCAAGAAAAATCTCAAAGTGGGGCTCAGTAGTGTTGGTAAAATGAATGTAGTATCTGCCTTACTGCAGAATGCCCTTACATGTTTATATGGAAGTGAAACCTCGCAGTATTTTGGGCTAAATCCCTCAAGCCTGCAAGATTATTTTGTTTACTTCATGACTTTTTTTTAATAAGAGAAGCCTTGTATGAACCTTAGAAAAAAGGGAAATCTCTTATTCAAACGCAAGTCAGTAAAACCTCCAAGTTAAACTTGAATTACTATTTTGTAAAATTTATTGACTCTATAATTAAAAAAAAAATGTTTGCTGAATTCTTTGGGGACTGTAGTATTCTGCTGGGTATCAAAACTATAAAGACCATGTGTAACAAAAATGACTGTAAAATACAGTGGGCTCAGTCTTTAGCTATGGTTGTGCCTTCAGTACTCCTCACCTGACTGGTGTGGAGTACTGCAAGCACATCCAGGCATCCATGGTTGGAGACTGAGCTTATAATAAAGTAACACTGAATGTATTACTTTTCCACACTTGTCATCCTGGTGTGACATTAATGAAAACAATTTATTATTATTAATAATATTTTTATTTTGTAAATTTCAAAGCTGTACAGGGAACTCAACTCTAACAGTGGTTAAGGAACTGGCTTGAAAGGAAAATATTGTTTCCTTGTAATAAAAGGAGAAAAAATATCTCACTTTGTCTGTCAATAAAACAAAACTCCTTGATGTAAGTGACACAACAAAATTGCTTAGCACCATAAAAATCATATTGAAATATTAGAAGCCTTAAAGCCAGGCAGAGAATACGACATCTTGATTTAATTTTCAATAATATGTTCAACTTCTAAGAATATACAACATGGCACTCAAACAGCATTACTGAACTATTTTCTTTTCCACAGGGTGAACCATATGCAGCAGAATACTTTAATTCGTACAATACAATATCCTGTTTGCTTAGGAATCTTTTTTGCTTGCAAATTTTTCAAACAAAGCAAGTATTGCTTGTGATTGTTGTTGTTGTTGGGTTAGAATGGACTGCATGGTTTGGAGTTGTTGCTGCTGAAGCCTCTCCTGCTGTCTGTGCTGCTCTTGCTGTTGTCTTTGCTGATTCTGGCGTTGCTGCTGGATCATCTGCAGCATGTCTTGCTGCATTTTAAGTTGCTGTTCAGACAAATGGGCAATTCTTCCCTCCTCTTGCTTTTTCAGTTCTATTTCCTCTTTCCTTAAAGCAATTTCCTGCTTTGACATCTCTTGTAGGTAGCCCACAGCATTAGCAATGCTCTTTCTGCTCTTTTTGGGCCGAGCATCCTCGTTGCTATCCTTTCTTTTCTGGCTCTCACTCAATTTCTCCATGGCTTTTAACCTCATTTTCTGTGCACTCTCTTTTTCTGCTTTCACTTTTTTCTTTTTAGTTTCATCTTCCTCTTCTGCCACTTCTTCTTTCTCACAAATTTCCTCAAGCATTACATCTATTTCAGTCATTTCAGGATCTATTCCACTAGCTATCTCCTCTGACTTAATTTTTTGCTTGTACTTCTGCAGCAAAAGCTTCAAACGATCTCTTAGGGATTTTGGTGCACCAATAAATTTACAGCTGGATACTTCATTCAACTTTTCAGCAATTTTTGACCAAATTTTTCCCCTTTCAGAGCTACCTTTGCAAGTGGAATAGAGATCTGAGCCAAGAACTTCTCTTAAAAATATGGCATCATGCTCCGGTTTCCACTGCATTACTCTAAAAATAAAAGAAAAAAAATCTCATACTTTCTAACCGTTATCTAAAAACGGCTTTATAGATGGTTAATGAAGGGTGACCAAAGTTATCCATGGTGACTGCACCAGAAAAACTGCACAAAACTTTTCTTATTCACCAACGCATGATGGTAAATAAAGATAACCTCAGTAAACCGAAAAATATAAGTTATTTCGCATGGACAAGCAGATAATGAAATAGCAACACAAGTTTCCATTTAATCATATATTAGCTTTCTATTATTTTTTGGTGCAATATCTAGGTTATTTCTCATTCGCAGATAAAATATTTCCTAATAAGCTTACTTACGATCTGGGGGAAGGTGTGGTGCTTGTTGCATCCATCTCCGTGGCCATTTTTATCTTCCAAAAACTGTATCAAAAAGGCAGAAACTGCTCTTAAACTAAACTAAAAATATAATTTCACATCTATTGAAATCGTGGGAACCACAAAGAAAAGTTGAAAAAAAACTACAAAAGCCATTAAATCTCATAAATCTCTCACATTTTCACGACGCCGTCAAATACTTAAAACTCACGTCGCCGCCGGAAGGAGGACGTCGTTTGTCGGAGGTATGTCATGCGCAATGGAGCTAGTCCCAGTCTCAACTGCTCGTTGACGGCGGCGTCGTCGGGAAAAGTCCTCCTGGTTAAGCTCCTAAATAGGCACTTTAGCTCACTCACATTTTCTCATCTACTTTATCGACCATTTCACGTTAATTTAACGACAATCGTCAAATTATCGAACTTAGGCGTTAAGTTTAACATCTTTAAAGGTAAATCACAGATCAACGCTCTCACTCATTACTTCATCTCAAGAGATATGAGATGAAGTCTTTTTCAACCCACGAGTCGTTAAAAGAAATACTAAAAGTTGCACGAACATTACTCTTCTTTTAAAACTACCTTCGGTGAAACAGGATTGTCATTTAAATTTACAATTCTATTAAGATTATCAGTAAAATAGATTCGTAATTCTTGAATCCTTTTCGAATCGATTTGGCTGAAACTGAGTCTCATAGGTACAAATTCAAATGGATATGACAGTTCATAATTATCAACGCTAAATCGATCTAGTACATCTGATCTCACAACATCAACCAAACTATTAGAAATGATATTTTTACGCATAAAAATATTATCAACAGATCGTGTTATATTTGGTACTTTGTCACCATAGGTGGTTGTAGTGATGATCTTTTTATCAAAACCGATAAGGTCAGCAAACTCACCAGTTCTCACATCAAGTTGATAGTTTTGTTCAAGAGTAATCAACACTCTATACAACGATGGAACAAATTGTAGAGTGATACCTGTCTTTGAATGACCATCTGATTCGAGTTCTCGCTGTATATGAGAATTCAATTCTTCATACGAAAAATTACCATTCGGAAGTGTAATAGTATGCCACGTTTTACCTGAATCATGACTAAATTTTAATTCATTATTGTCAAAGTTGTCACTCACATTACACCAACTGTATGACATTGATATCGAGTCGAGAGCTAAATAGTAGTCTCTGTTTTTATCTAATTCTAGCGCTGGAGTAAAGCGTATATTGAAATCATGACTTTTTGAGTTGCCAGTTCCTTTTAATGAAGTGATAAAAGTAGTTCTGTTTGTGTCATTATGAATTATTTTTTGCACTTCCATTGTTAATAACTCAAGTGTTTTTTTATAAATACATATAATTTTTTTTTTAATTTTTCCAAGTTTCAACAAGTGATCGAGAATTTCTGAGATCTCATTTCGCACCACTATACTCGTATTACCAGCATGTCGACTCAGTGTTAACATTTTCAGTCTCTCTAACAAATCTTCTGGTTTTGAAAAAATAGCACCACCATGAAGCTGTCTAAGTTGTTTCTGTTTTTTTTTTTTTAATACCACTACCTTTACTAATAATTGACTTATTTTTATTTTTATCTCTGATAAGTTTTTTATACTTTGACAATAGTTTAAGATCATACAACGCGTCTTTATATTCTTGTTTATTATCACTGTTAGTAAAACCACCCTTTTTTCCTTTAAGGTGTTTGATCATTTCACGAAGACTTATCAAATTTATTAAAATCTAACGTTTCATTCATTAGTGCCTTCATTAGATCAGATGGCGCTGCTAATTCATATTCTATTAATCTTGCAATTTCATCTGGTTTAAAATCTTTATTTACATCTGCTTTGAATGTTATTGGGGCTGGTAGAGTTGGAAGACATGGAGTTGCTGTTAACGCTGTAGTCAGCAACACGTTTTGATTTTCTGTGAATGTTTCAGTGAGTTTATCTTGTTTGTCATCGATCGTTTTTTTTTTCACGTCTTTTACCTCGCTGACGATAGGTTGGAATAACTCTTCTCGTTTCACCTTTATATTCTGTTGTTTATCACTATTTAAACAATAGAGTGTATCTGTCGAGGAACTATCGGCTGATAGTTGCCCCGTGGAAATTTGATGTTCTTAAAACAAATATGCTAGTTTTAAGAACATCAAATTTCCAAGGGGCAACTATCAGACCGATAGTTCCGAGACATAAACACTCTATTGTTTTTATTGTTCACCACTAAATTTTCTTCCGCGCCTACAGCTTGTCACAAATGTCAACAATTCGCAACCGTACATTGGCTAAATAATACGTTATACCTGTCAGAATTGAAAAGTCACTGTTTTTCCAATCTGCCTAACTTCGCGGCCGTCAAACTATTCAAAACTTTTCACGGATGACTACTATCAATCCAGGTATTTTCCGCGGACGGGCACTATCCATCCGGGTATATTCCGCGGGCGGGCACTAGGGGCTGATAGTGTCTCTCCAAGGATGAACACTATCGTGTCACGTGATCGATTTAAACCAATAAGAACCGGAGAAAATTTAGTGGTGAACTTTAAAGTCTTTTAGTGCCTCTTTAACATTTTTGTCATGGCTTCAACCCTCATTCCACTTTCAAGTCTTTTTCTATATTTTTCAATATCCATTTTAATTATAACAAACAAAAATATTATATTGAATTTTGATAAAAAAATGCCACGGCAAGGACGATATCGACATGAAAATGGTAAAATTGTTTATTACAACATTGAAGGGGGGAGAATATATGATATTGCGAAAAAAGTAGTAACAAAACTAACAGGTAAAACAGAAAAGAAAATTGCGAAAAAGGCTGCTGAAAGAGCTTTTGAAAAGGGAGCTGAGGAGGTTGGTAAAAAGACAGGACAATAATTGGAGAAAAATTTATAGTAAATTAAACAGTGATCCCAGGTCATCCAGTAACATCACTCCATCAACTACAAGTGAGAAAGAAAGTGACAAGAAGGTAGATGAAGAAGCTATTAAAATATTACAAACACTTAAAAAATCTGAACTACAGACTGGTTGAACCAGACGTCATTTATTCACAAACATTCAACGAATTGTTGAAATTAGATTGATAAATTGAAAAAATAAATAAATAAAACAAATAAATGCCGTTTCGATATTCAGAACAACATTGCAAAAAATACGATTATTTGAATTTTAATCTAGACACTCCACTCACAACTCCTGCAAATGGAAATTATCAAAAAAAGGGTGGTTACACATTTAGCGTAAACACTACCGATGAATCAGATCCACTCGATTGGTACAATGCATATTTCGAGGTTAACTTGAAAATAAACAAGAAAACAGACGCTGCATCCTACGGTGCAGCCGGTGCAGCTGCAACTATAAACGGTGGTTTTGGAATTACAGATTATTGTCAAATTTGATGGTACAACAGTTCTCGACTCACAAAACACGAATCACGTAATCAATATAAAAAATCTCACAGAATTTACAGATACGTATAGCAGTAAAGTAGGGCCTTCTATGTTTCACTTTCCTGATACAAATACCACAGCAGATATTACAAAGTATGCGACAGTCGCAGTTGCTGCAGGAGGTGGAAATGTAACACCATCAGAGCGTGCACAGTATAATGAAGGGTTTTCTAAAAGACAAAAACTTCTTAACGCTGGTAACTCAGTTAATTTCATACTTCCACTAAATCGTTTCGGCTTTTTTGATTCATTTGAAGATAAAATCAGCGCGAATGGTAAAGTCACTATTGTAGTGAGGTTTGAAAGTGGTGATAATGTTATATTTAGATCAGATGCAACAGTAGGTAGATATATCATCGACAAATTTGTTTTGTGGGTACCAAAAATGACACTAACTGATAAAGGTAGGGAAACATTTCTACAAGATTACCTAAAACCCCAAACATGGGAATATCTCAATGAAGAGATTTTTATTACTCCACCACTACAGGTACGAAGTGGAGATTTTAATATTACAAACGCTATCAGAAAACCAAGGCATGTTTTTGTCTGGGTTCTCGATTATACAAAGCTAAATGAACAAGAACAGAATCTGTTTATATTTGACACTTACAACATTGCAAACGCTCGAACCATAACCAATGCTCGACTGAAGTTTGGTAATGGAACATTTTACCCTGAAGAAGATTTGGATATGACTGATCAAAAAGTTAGAGCATATAGACAGTTGATTCAATACAACAAGTCTATCAATGATCATCTGTCTGCCCCATTCATCGATGTAGATTTGTTTGAAAAACTATATGGTACTTTGTATTTTGACTTGACACGGCAAGATGAAAGTCTCAAGATGGTGTGGTTTCTCCACAACTCAATTTCCAACTTAATGATAATCCTAATGCAGAATTTTACATGTATGCATTAGTCCTTAGCGAACAAGAAATCCACATCGAAAGAAAAAGTGGAAAATCAATCAGAAAATAGAAAATCACACAACGTTGTCATCTAAAAATTTTTTATTATATGTTCATATAATAAAACACAATGCCGACATATCATGCACATGATGTGAAATTATCTGAAAATCAAAAACTAAAATTGGTGAAAGCTCTCGATATGGGATCGCCTTTGACTATTCGCCTCTCGTATACCGAATTAATCGGTCCAGATCAATTGATGTTGACAAAACTCAGATTAATAAGATCCGAAAGGCTAAGAAGCTTAGAAAAGGTGTTGACATCAAAATAAGTAAAACACAGATAGGTAAAGTTGTTCAAGAAGGTGGGAGTTCATTCTCATCACTAGTTAGTCCTGGAGCAAAGCTTGTACCCAAGGTTATGAAATTAGCTACGAAAGCTCTCCCAGGTTTAGCAACTGGTGCTACAACAAGTTTGGGTAATTTTTGCAGTGGATAAAATTCTCGGCTCTGGTCAAGTGGGAGGTTTCTTGTTTCCAAATTCTAAAATTCAGCAACTTATTGCTCATAAACATTTACTGACAGTGAAGCAAAAACAAGACACGTTAAATGCTCTTCAATCAGGTGGAAATTTATACATCAAACCAACAGTAAAACAGCGTGGTGGTTTTCTCGGAACGCTGCTTGCCTCTATTGCTGCACCATTACTTCTGAACGTACTGACTGGACAAGGTATGCAAAATAGACCGATTGGAAATAAGAATGGAAGAGGTGTGCAAAATAGACCGATTGGTAATAAGAATGGAGAGACATGCAAAATAGACCATATTCTGATCAATTTCTACCCTATTATTCACCACCAATTGTATCAACAATCGGAAGGGGGGTCCAAAAAAAAAATTGTCAGGCGAGGGATTGTTGTTCAGGAAAAACTCCCCATTCAACGGAATCCCACTAATCGGTGCAATTTTGCAAACAAACCAGTACGACCGCTGTTTGAGAATAAACCAATTTCAAATGTTGACATTTTGAAGCGGATCGATTACCTAAAGATACCACAATTCAAAGGTGTCATATCAAGAGACCAAATATACACNTTTTACCACAGAGCTAGCGAAAAAACCTGATAAAGATGATGTATTATTACGTGATGGAAGTCAAGCAATAACTGATAACCTTAATCTCGGAAATTAAAAAATAATTAACTCAGCGGCGCCGAGTGGTGGCACTGATCTTTGTAATAAAATGTATGTCGACACAGAATTAGCCAAGAAACATGATATTGGAAGCGTTGATCTGAGTGATTATCTGGACAGAATAAAAGGTGGATATATTGAAGGAGTTTTAATTTTCAACAATGCTCAAGGATTACACAGACAAATAATGGGTATTTCAAATCAACCAGCTGATGGACCCAGTGTTGTTAATTTTAATAAGTTAAATACTAAACTAAAAAAGAAGGCTGATGCGGACGTCATGATAAATGAATTGAGTGGAAAGCTTGATACAACCACATTTAATACAGATATAGCGAAAAAACCCAATGCTAGCGCAGTCATGCTTTTAGATGGAAGCCAATTTATGACTGGTGACCTTAATCTCGGAAACAAGAAAGCAATTAACCCAGCTGCACCGAGTGGTGGGACTGATTTATGTAACAAAACATCGGTCGACACCCTTGTGGGTACGACCAAAACAAACCTTGAAAAACATGTCAATGACCACCTTGCTCATAGCGTTACAACCACCAATTTGAAAAAAATGGTATTATTGGCAATGAATTTAGCGATGAAGATATCACTGGCAAAACACCAGTTTTCAAAGACTTTCATAAATTCGACAAGAAGACAAAACCATTTGATCTTCTTCTTGATTCATCAAAAGGATATTATTCAAGTAGATTTGGAGTAAAGCTGTACAGCGCAGCAAAATCAGAATACACAGTCGTGTGTGAAATGTGGTGGGAATCCAAAAAAGTTGATCCCAATTCAGTAAGTCTATCTGCCACAAGCTCTGTTGAGACAATTTCAAGGCAGCGCAGCAATCGATTTTCAAATCGTGTAGTAAGCCTCATACACATGACACAATGGAGTAACACAACACCAAATTATCTTATGTTTGACATTGTAATGAAATTCAAACAAAATATTTCAAAATATGATCAGAAACTACCAATTTGGCTTGTGGTTTACGGCAGCAAGGGATATCACAATAGTTTACCTGAGGATGTTTGGGATAGATGGTATTCGTTTTATGGCTTTGGTCTTGAGCCATCTGTATGAAGATGTTTGTCAGTATACGCTTTTGTACTTGCATCTGGAGCTTCAGTTGGATCAGCTACATTTGTAAGTTTTTGCTTTCATAATTTCTTTTCCATAAATAATTTGGATATATCAACAAATTTGAAATGGTAAATTGGCCACCGTAATGATTACAAAAGCTGACGTTTCGAGCGTTAGCCCTTCGTCGGAGTGAATGAAATATGTCAACAAAGAAATATGTCGACGATATCAAAACATCTTTACAAACAAAAATCAATGCAAGAGCAACTAAAACAGCGCTAACGAATGCGACAAAAAATATTTGGTATCGA